AAACTATTTGTTTGTGCTTTCCATCTCCTCCCACCGCCCCCTCCGTGCTCTAGACTCTCATGTAAGTTTACAGGTATGTGGCAATACTTTCACCCCACGGAGATGAAGAAGCGAGTAGGCAGAGGAGGCGCTTGTTGTTTTTGTTTTTAATTAAAAAGGCTTTGAAGGACAACTCTGCTGTGAAGTAGCAACACACTCTCCCCTCAGAAACAGGGGGCTGTTTACTTTCTCAGATCATCCTTTTCCATACTTGCACCCCCCTCGGGCGAGGAGAACACGCGCACGCAGGCCGGGGCCGGCTTCTGCACTCGCCCGGGTGCCAGCGGGAGGGCGGAGGGGGCAGGAGCCAGTCCTTAGCTTTCCAAGTGTGAGGTGGCTTGGGATGTAATATAGATACAGAGGTCACAGCCAGTAGGATATTTTTGTTTTCCTCCGGAGCTGTTACTGCAGATTCTCATCCATCAGGAACTCTCTTCAACATGTGGATGACATGCTTATTTAATTTCAGAGTCTTTTCATCGTGTACAAACTAGAACGATATATGTATACCGTTATCCCCCCCCCCCAAAAAATATTGCCTATTAAGCCAACCCAAGGGAAGCGGAGATCTCCCTCTCCTTTGCAATTCAGTTTCATGATAACGCCTCCAAAATATGTTGTGGCCGTTCAATTATTGCCATGGGTAGCTTGTTTCATCCAGTGTTAATGCACTTTCCACAGTTTTACACGGTGTTAGCATAGACAGACGGGTTTTATTATTATTCCTGTTCGCTTTCTCAATGTTCTTAATTTATTGCATGGTTTATATTTTCTTTCTTTACAGCTGAAATTGCTTTAAATGACAGTAAAAAAAAATTACACGTGAATTTTAAAAAAATAGTTAATTTTATAAATGTGATTGTAATTAAAAAAAATATTTTGATTTAAAATGATAACTGAGAATTTAAGCCGTGAAGTTTGTTTTTGATCATTTGCAGTTAAGGACTTTAAATAAATCGAATGTTAACAATGAACGATTTCTGCTATTTTCTTTGAATTGCATACGGTGGAAGGATAACTCAGGTTTATACCAAATAAAACTAGAGGGGTATTAGAAAGGAAAGATACCTTAAAATAAAAAAATATATATTATTATTAACGATTCTAACCCCACGGGACAGGAGCGGTTTTGCCGACTATACAACTGTATATATTGTGTGACAGCTTTTACACTCGAATACACTGGTATTGAATACAGCAATAAACATATTCATGCATGACCAAATTAAATATTCATTTTGGGGGGGAAATCATTGGAACGAAAGCTATAGAGAATCTCGTTTGTCATTATTGTTATTTTTTTTTTAAGAATTCCTCCGGTAGCAATATTCTTAGCCTATGTAGTGAAATGTCATTTTAGGGACCAAACCAACCGGCTGGTAGAACTCGGTACCCCACAGGACACCAGAAAAAAAAAACAACTAACCTTTCACACGGTATTTCCATTTTAAACCTCCACGCTTATTTTTTTTTAATTTAAATGTAATCCGATCTCAATGCCATCCGCTGCCTGTTTAATCTGTAGCAATGGGAAATTTATGCAGATATTTCCGAGTCCAGTTGTGGCTCCTGGAACTCATTTAACAAAAGATGCCTGTCTTTCTTACCGCGGATCCTAATCATTAGCTGAAGGACGTTGATTTTAGTGGACATAGATAGATGCGCACGGAGCGTGTATTTCTCTTTGTACCGAAATGTAGCACAACTATCAATACACAAGGAAACAGGTTTATAGCATTGCCTGAGCAACCCCCCCCCCCTTTTTTGGCCCCGATTCTTCCAACGACGCGGTTTCCAGACCTCATGCTGTTGGTCATTATTACACTCGAAGAAAATCTCCTACATGCAACTTCACACCAAAAGCGCTGCTCTAACCCACAGAAATCATTCATCCCCTTGGATGCTAGGCTCAGTTTCCAGACATCAATAATAACAGCAGCAGCAGCCCTGGCAAACATGGATCCCCAGCAAGCACTTGTTTGTGTGAACTGCATCATCGGGAGGGGTTTGAACTTGAACAGCTTTTACTTTGATCAGCCCACTTCATCCAAGAACGCGAGACAAAAGAACTGTAATTCTCTTAATTATCACACAATTGCCCCCTGACTGGTCGGGGAAACTAAATTGGTGGGGGGAGGGGGAAGCGGGCCAGAAATCCCGTAGCAAAACAGATCCCTCAAACCCGACTGCCCAGCGAGGACGGAAAGAAAAATATACACATAGCCCCCTGCGCTGGGCTTCTTACAGCAGTTTGATCGTCCACTGGAGCCCAGACACTGGCCACGCACTGAATAATCTGGCCACCCACTGAAATAAATCAAATCCTCACATTTTGCTACAATTGTATATTTGATCAACTAGAGCTTTCCAGTGACCCATCCTGGACTCTAGAACAACATGCAAGGCATGGTTACGCTGCTTCAGGAGGTTAGCAGACTATCCTGATGACACTATTTTGCTGTCCCATCGCATAAGACGTCTGTTTTTCAGAAGTGCTAAGTGCCGGCGAGCCTCGGGGCAGGCAGTAGGAGCTGCAGGTTGCTAGGCACCAGGTTTGATGGGCCCTGTTCCTGAGTCTTTACTCTGTTAACGGGGGTTTTGCCTAGTTCAGGATCAAACCACTTTTCAGGAAGACTTCAACAGTCTTCCACGGAACCGACCTATAGATAATATGCCACTTCAGAACGGAATCATTGATGAATGCTTTAGGTCTGTGCACAGAACATATCCATTGACCTACAGCGGTAAGACAGCAGGATTCAGACATCAATTGTGGGACACAGGCTGCATGTAATTGACCTGGAAGAAATACTTGGGGTGCGTCTAACAACATGTATTAACTAGGCCATTGTGGTTCAAAGTTATGCCTAGATAAAGCATGCAGTCAGCTCTAAGTGGCAGATATTTCCAGGATTTACATTAGAAATAATCGTAGACTCTCCCTCTTTTCTATGACCGAGAAATAGTGACTGCTCGGGGGAAACTATTTAACTGCAGAAGATTGGTACGTGGCTAGCAAGGGAAAAGTGTGTTTCCTTCGGGAGAGCGAAGGCAGCTTTTTGTGCTCCGGTCAAGATTTAGAGTCAACAGAAGGCAGCGAAGTCGGCTGCTTTCTGCTCGCCTCTCAGCTGTGGATCTGTTGTAGCTTCTGCACTTTAATCCCCTACTCGTGAAGCGTTCAGCAGCAGCCTCAAAATAAACTGAAACCAGGATTGACTGGGCAGGACTGAGAACCGCCAAGCCACAATATTCATAGGAGAAAATAGCAGCAGTTATTTTCCGCTAGTAACTAGTGCTGCCGGGATCCAGGTAACTCTACAGCTCAGGATCTACCTATATCGCAATGCCTTAGCCCAGGAGAGGGGAAAATTCATGTTGAGACCCGCTGTGCACTTCGGCCACTATTCCTATTTATAGGGGAATTTCTGCCTCTCTGAAAAGGCAACTATCTTTAACCAGCCACGTGCTGGAAAACTGCAACTGCTGGCATCCATCGGCTTCCTTTAACTTAATTAGATGTAAGTGGGGAGTAATCAGTACATGACTGCACCTCTTAGAAGATCTAAGTGGATTTTACTTAGTGTAAAAGACCCAAACTCGGGAATCAACCGAGCTTTCCTGCGTGGACATTTTTGAATTTGAGATTGATTTTTGGATCGGACCCTGGGCTTCTGGTACAATGTAAAAGAGTGTCCGTACTTTTTCATTTAAGCCTTTTTAAAACGAGAAGTAACTGGGATCCTGGCAAATTCTATGAGCAATGAACAGAAACGTTCAAGCCCAGACCGTCGCAGGTGTAAAAGGAAGCACTTTCTTTCCCCCTTACCTCAGAAAAGACTGAGGGAATTTTATTCCGACCAAAGGTCAATTGGGGGTTTTACTCCTGATTCCGATGTGAGCGGGATCGGGCCCCTCCTCCGCAGCACAGAAATGCTCATTCCCTTTTTAGTGAAGAAGAGTGAAATTGTGAGAAGGAATTAGAAAAAAAAGTGGGGGTGGGGATATGGGGGGACTCCTCCGAATTAGGAAAAGAATACAGGAGTCTGGTGTTTGCTGTCTCTGTCTAGAAGGTCAATAATGATATCTGCAATGGAAAAGCAATTGGAGGTTGGCTACTTATTGAAAGGAAATGATAAAAATGCGACATCAGATAT